CCTAGTGATTAAACCTGTCTTGAGTTGGGAACTGTCTGTCTTCTGGCTCTGCTGTGCACTGACTATGTGTTAGTCAGTCCCAAGATTGAGAGTACAGAGCACGTATACACTGGGCTGCCAGACTTGTCCTTCATACTGCTGGACCTGTAGGTGAGGGCGGGGGGGAAAGCCAATAGGCCCACCAGCACAAGGCCTCCAGGGAATCCCAAGTCCCTTCTCCTGGAGTCACAGACTGGAGGGATACATTACTGCTGCTTTATTCATGGACCTAAGGTGAAGCCAAAAACTGTACCTGGTAGACAAGAAGTATCAGTAAGTCATCTTGCCCCGATTGGCGCAGTACCACAGTGACCAGTGGAAGTGGTAAGTCCTGCTTTTCCTTGTGTGTTTCTTTTATTTGCAAGGGACAGCCTAAACTTGGGTGTCAGGCTCCTGGTAAGGTGTAGAGAAGCATGAAAGGGCCAGAGCTGGAAATACTAATGAGATGACAAATTCGGGACATTCTTCAACTCTCAGCTTGTTAGAGATTGGTGCCAGCAGCCCAAGATAGCAAAGGATGTTTTACAGCACTCGTAGTCCTGATGGACCAACAATCAACAGCAGGGAAGTAATGAAAAGGACAGTTCTGACATCTAAACAAAAATCCAATTCACCAGCCCTGTAGAGAAAGAGAGACCACATCAAAGCCGAGGTCGTGTGAGGGCCAGATACAGTCAGACTCAGCCTTGTTTCAGTGATTTTGCAGATCCTGACATCAAAGGTGACGGTCTCTGGCAGATCTGGCACCAGTTCAGCGGCAGCTGATACACTGTCCCTGTGGAACACCACCGATGCCAAAGCAGCCCAAGCTGCTGCGCAGGTTCTGGCAGCCAAGTCACAAGTGTCTGAGCTACCCTCAGACGTGTCAGGAACTGCTCTGGGTTCACTGCCACAAAAGCAGCACAGACCACATGTCCTGCATTTCAGAAGGCTTTCCATGTTAACATGGAGCAATAATAAGCTTTTGAACTTAGTCTACTGTTTTTTTCCTCCAGAATTCAGCTTTACTGACAACGATGACAACACACCTTACGGCTTACAGGAGCCAACTCATTCTGGACAGGCTGAGACATCTCAAATCCTGGTTTTATCAGCACTCTCAGCAATACGATTTTGTCAGGTTTGACTGATTTTTCTGGTGCCTTTTCTGTTTTTTCATAAGCTGCACTAAAATCTCACTGTTGGTTCTGCCAAAAGGAGAGCACTTTTAACGTCACACACTGAAGGCTTCTATTGTTTTCAGACTCTGTCACCTCATAAAGAGGTCACATCTTCCCTGACGTAATTTTTTTAAATTAGTTCATACATTGTCAGCTGTAAAGTTGGACGACATTATTCTCAGGTATTTAGATGTAGAGGACATTGCAGAACAGCATCTGTTAGTTCGTTCTTGGAGAGCTAACCGAACCTCGATTAGAGCACCATTAACCTTTGTAGCATCTCAGTCACATTCTACTCATTCACTTGTAAAATGACAGCCCAACAACCCAACACAAAATGCTGATGCTCTAGCTTGGTGTTTGGACTGTATCCATAGTGTCTTGCCTGCCCCATCAACAGGGACATGCAGAAGATGCTCAAAGTAGACTCGGATTTGAATAATTTAGGTGGAAGTCACAGTCCAGAAGCTACACCACAGACCCTATAAGAGTTATAAAGGCACTTGGAGCTACAGCTCATAACTGCCCAGGAATGTAAAAATATTTTGCTCATAGGCAAATACCTCCATGACTTGAAGAAAATCTGCATCTTGTGCTAGAACTGAAGTTAGAAGAAGTTGCTTAAATCCCAAGCCTAGAGTGACCTCCATTTTCATGGACATGACACCAGAACCACAAGAAAAGAGCCTGGCTACAGTTTACCACTTCTCTAGCAAGCATCACATCCGACCTCCGTCATCACCAACTGGATCCACTGCCAAAAGGGCCAGTTGTCTCATCATCCAGAAGATGCCTGGCAAACCCCAGGAGAGGACCCCGAGAGGCCCTGAAGATCATGGACTCTCACCTATTCTACCCCTCCCTACAGCCAAACACAACAGCTAAAGCTTAGGCCGGGCCAACTCCTGTGGCCCTTGAGGAACCCAACATGATGTAAGACTGGATGGGGCCTTGAAGGTTTTCACTACATCACTGCGTGAAGGAACTCTCCTAGGCAGGTATCTCTGAGCATCTGCTGCAGAGATTAGATCCACTGATCAGTTGGACACACTCACATTCGTCGTCTCAAGACCAACACTGCCAGACTGCTCACTGTGAAGCACCTTCCCAGTTCCACGTGACCACCAGAGCATTGCAAAACCTTTCCAGTTCTTGACAATGAGATGGTTGGATCTGCCATGTTCATGGTGCAGTTCCGCTGCAGAAAAGGCCGATGCGTGTCTCACACAGCCAGCTCACCTCTGCTTTCAGGGAGCTTGGTTCTTCATGCAGTAAGGCTGCAATCCATCAATCCACTTCCAACCCAGGCATGAGCAGCACCTGTGATTAGGCATTCACACCCATCACTTCAGGTACTCGACAAGTGTGACACAATGACATGTACAATCTGGCTCATCCTTAAGGATCTCCCTTCCAATAAACCGTGCTTGGCAGGAGACTGCTTTAACTTTCTCAGTGTGAATGTTCTTACAAACAAACAAACAAAAAAAAAACAACCCAAGAAAAAAGTTTCTTACCAGCAAGGTGTGCTCACTGTTCTTCCTCAGACTCCGTCGGGACAGTCTAGGGTGGAAAGAAGCAGGAGGTGCTGGACAGGCAGTATGTCATTATTGCCACATACACACTCGTGCTATGGGCACATCTTGAGCAGGCACTCTTACACATCCACGTTTTTAAAGATTTCCAATGATAAAGGTGTCAAAGTCCTCCCAAGTCCTTATTACACTTGCCACTGGATTTTTTTGCTCCACTATCCAACTAAACCATTTCTCGCTCCAAAGTGAGCTCCTTATTACTCTTCACAGCCACAGCAGACGTGTAACAATTGTATTAACTGCATCAGGGAGACACAGAGGTCATGCAAGTGCAAAGTTCCCCTTTTACATACTTGATTTCTGTCCCTCTCTCTAGTGTAGAGCAAATACCAACAATTCCTCTGTCTCTCCTGGCAAACTGGGCTTTGTAGACTCTGCATCATTCTCTTAGGCTCTCTTCTGGATGGTCTGCATCTTCATTGAACTGTGATGTACCAAACCGCACACACCATTCCCGGTAAGTCTTGTGAATCCAGAGTGGAAAAGAAAGATGGCTCGTCCTCACAGGCTATACTCTCCCATTACTTGCTTTCTTTTTTTGAAACAGCAGAAATATTCCAATTATCAGTCTATTTTTTTTCAGGAACAATACATCTCCATTCAGCTCGTGTTCTTCTACCCCAGCCCTATCAATGCTCCACCAATTTTCACCAATTCACCTAACTATTTTAGCAGCTTTTCTTTGTAGCCGTTTCAATTACCCTGCTTTACAGCTACAGCCATCTATTTTTGAGTGTTCTGGAGGGCTGATACCTTTTTAAAGTTAAGATTTCTTGATACCTCTTGAAAATACTTCACTGGATCTCACTTAAGGCTCTTCCTTCATAGGTGCATTAGCAGCACGGAATTACTATTTGATCAATTAGTGCACACAGATCATAGTACAGCTTCTAAATATGTTTATTTTCCAATGCAGTTAACCTGTGAAGTTCTCTGTGAAACAAAATTTAGATGCATTATTTTGTGTCTGGTGAAATTTCCATAATATCATTATTTCTACTGACTATTTCTATTTCTTTGGTATGTTCTACCAAACATACTTTGGTTTATATGACCAAAAAAACCCACCAAAACCAAAAAACGTTCCAATTGCTAAAGGAACACATATGGAACACTGTTGTTTTCCTTAAATACTTCTCCCTTAAAGGGAATGAGATGAAATTTTGTGAAATGCTGATCTGTCAGAAGCAACACAATTGGCAAACAGTTACTGGAGAAAATCAACAGTGTAAATGACAGAAAGTGAACAGAGATTTTCAGCCATCGAGTTCCGATTTTGAGTTCAGACACATGATCCTCATTTTAATTTTGAATTCAAACTCAAAAAATTGTTAGAATCCTGGTATTAAATCAGCATTTGAGTGGTAAATAATTCTTAAAAAAAATGCAAGTCCTTAATGTTTCTTGCAAAAGCATATCATCGCTGCTCTGATTTATTGATATCATTTACAGCGCATTAAGTATCCTTTATTCCAGCATTTTAAGCTTTGTATAACTTTTCCAAAGCGATGAAAAACAAAACAGTAAGTAAGGAATAATAACCCTTATTACCTATTCTTCAAGTATAAAATCAAACTATATTGAACCCAGGGTATACACCCTCCCCAAATACGAGAACTCTTAGCCCACTAACGCTAACTTTTAAGTCCTATTCTGTACTTAAAAACTGGTCAGGAAGTATTTCTAATTAGAAAAATTTCTAATTAAGAAATTAAGGCCTTTAATGTTCTTACCCATTTCAACTTTATCAAATTAACAGCACTATCAAATACCACTGTGTGTTAGCCTGCAGGGTTGGTAAAGCAGGTATTATATTGCAGGTACATATAAATATATGTGGAAGTTACGATCAGAAATACTACGTAGTTCAAAATATTGTTGGAATGACATTTCATGCAGCAGCAGACATGATTATAAGCATATGGGCTTGTATTTATAGGTGCAAGAAAGAAAAATACACTTGGAGTGCAGAGTTCCCTTACTCTCGTTCTTGCTTAACACTTTCAGGTCAATTCTCTCTTTCAAAACAAATACAAATCCTTTATGTTCTGTATATTCACTGGCTGTAAACGTACCGGTTCCAGAATGTCATTAGCAGCAGGGGTTTTCCTGAAGGTCCACTCGTTTTTAAGACATTGTTACCACACATCTGCAGAAGCAGCTCTCCAGCACAAAAATACACCTTCGTTCTTCAACACACAACAGGTAAGGTGGTATAAGATTTATTAGTACTTTCTTTTACTAAGGCACATGACGTATAGAAATACTGAGGTACAAAAACGTAGTTTCCCACATATGAGATTTAAAACCCCATTTTGACAAAGATGAGCTACATCTCTTCTGCTCAGAGCATTCAGCTTTTAGCCATTTTTTTCTTTTGTACCAGTTCAACAAGCAACTTGTATCTTGCTATACACTCCTCCTAAAAGGAAAAACAAAAGTGTTAATTAAAAGTCTGATATTTTAGCCTTGCTTTAACTCTATGCATGCTACCTCATTCTAGAAGACGACCTAGGTTCTGGGGGTTGTGTGAGGTGTTTTGGGAGTCTTTTGGGTGGCTAGTGGGATTTTTTGTGGGTTTTTTTTGTATTTTTAAGTTGTGCACTTTCAGAAGGAGAATCTATGTCTAGTGAAGAGCAGATTAGAAAAATAAACTTGCAATTTTATGTTTCTTAATGGATAATTTCTCTCTTTAAAGAGCACACAAACCCAAGAAAACAGTTGGCTGGTGCTTCTTGACAATGACTCTAAAAGCAATTTTTAAACAGTTGTAATAGCTACTTCAGAACAGCTGTTCTGGTATGAGCCACACTGCAGATGCATTAAAAGGGCTTGTTAAAGACAAGCCTTTACGGTCACTCACACGGCACCTACTGACACCAAATCCTGTTGGACAGCTTCAGAGCCAACAGAGAAACAGTCAAATCGCCCACCCACGTTTTCTGCTCGCTCCCACTGTGGCACAAATAAAACCAGGATTTTCTGCAGCTACAACGACTGAAGCAAGCAAACTAAGCTATCGCAACTATTATGGAATCTAGCACAGGCCAACTATATCAATGACAATGAACGCTATTTTAAAAAGATTATACTTACAAAAAGAACATTAGATAGATTACTGAGCATTTAACACTTCCAGATGGATTACTTATTCTGTTTGTTCACTGAGATGGGATGAGAAAGATACTGTAAAAGTCTAAGCAAAGCAGCTCACCAGCGTTTGGTTACTAACTTTGAATCAAAATTTGTTTTAAAATCTAATTTGTCCTGCAATTGAAGATCTGAAAGGCAGAGGAGAGGTAGGTATTTAAATGAAATAGGAGGTATTTCAACATTTTCTGTAATAGATGAAACAAACTGAATTAAATGAAAAGATATTAACATGACAGTAATGCTCTTTAGGTTAATTCGAGTGACAGGATAAAGATTCTCACCTTTCTGCACAGACCCTCGGTTCTTAGGGTAATCATAAATAGGTAGAAAATATGTTTCCCCTCAATTTATACTACAGTTCAAACAAAAGTAAGCATACCTTGCTTTTTCCAGGAACACATTTTGCTATTTTATCCCAGCGATCCGATGTTCCCTTTGGATACTGCTGCAAGGCCATTTCAAGAAGTTTCTGTTGATTTTGAGTCCACAGTTCTTCTGGGGCACGGCTTTTCTCTCTTTTTCTGCTCTCATCATCACTCTGGTCCTCTTGCTCGGTGTTATCAAAATCTTTCTGGCGTCTCCCTCTGCCTTTCTCTTCTGGTATCTCTTTTGGTGCTGGTAGAGCCATTTCAGGGGCTTTGACAACTTTTCGTTTGCGGTGTCTCGTTTCACTTGCAATGGCCTCCTTTTGAGCTACTTGGACATGCACCTGCTCTGGGATATGATTGTCGTTCCCCTCCTCCTCCTCTTCCTCCTCCCTTTCTCGCTGGGTAATTATGTGGTCTGGCAAATTCACGTTGACTTTGACATTCTTGGAATTCTGGGCCAGCGTTTTAAGCTCAGAGAGCCTAGTGATACCTGTTAGAAGTATTGTTGTTACACTTCTAAAAAAAGAAATCAAACCACAAACAAGCAGGGAACTGCCCGCAAATAAAAGGTACCTGGAATAGTGCAGAGAGGAGAAAAAGCTCTTCTGGATTAAGAGCTTAAGGAAAATTCTAATCGTAAAATCACGAAATTTGCTATGAAGCGATTAACTTTGCCAATTATGAGCTTATCTGGTATATGTGAAGTACTAGTACTAGTACTTACCACACTGATACAAACAAGCATAACATAACGGCCTGAACAAATGAACAAGCCCCACAATAAACTGAATAATAAAGCCTGGGAGGATGTAGCTAGAAAGGAAACATTCCCTCGGAATACCCAGCAGTTCTTCTCTTTGCTCAAAATAAGGCAAGGTACCGAAGCCTCTCTGCAAAGCACACCCCGACAGGTACAAAACGCACTGATTTGCAAAGCTGTACTGCAAATACGATGCTTTTTGTAAGCATCAGGGAGGATCTAGCAGCACGCACCTGGTGTGTATGTAACAGAATCCTTCACTTGCTTGGCTTTCATGGTAACCTGCATGAAAACAACAAAAAAAGGACTATTAAAAATTACATTATTGGGGCTATCGAAGAATTCATTAGCAGCTTACTGCAAAATACCAACATTGAACATACATTAAATACAGCCAGGCTGATGTTCTTCTGCTGGCTTTGTTGATATATGGATCCCAAACTGGCAAGAAGTACCTTTCTACACTTTTTCCTTTCTAAAATATTCCTAGCTTATTAACATAAGCAAAGCTACACATTTCTATTACTATTATCATAATACATCACAGTTGATACTGAAATTTTGTTTTCTTTCATTGTTAAACCCGAATTCTCTAACCTAAAAATACCACAAGGAGGGGAGGAAAAAGGAAGCAAATGAGTTATCTTCTATATATTAGTTTCTCACTACTGAAAAAACCAAAATAACCCACGTAGGTCCAGATAATGAGGCACGCTAACGGACAGGCATTCAGTCCCAAAAGAAGATGTAACAGTTTGACTACCAAAGATCCGCAAAGACACCTCCTAAGTCCTCATATTTCAGGAAGAAAAGCTTATTACTGAGAATCCAAAGGATGGAGAGCTGCCTGCTTCAACCTCGCTGTATACACCAAAATCTGTGTCCTGGGAGAAAATTAAGACCAGATTTAGCATTTTCAATTTTACTTAAGAAAGAAAAACCTCTAGGCTTTCTCCCCACCCAGAACGAGGTGCTTTCCCATCCCAAATCTCTAGACCTTGCTATAAGTAACAAAGACAACAGGCTTCATTTAAAATCAAGATCCTTTTACTCACTCAGCATCTGTGTTATATCAAATGACCTAGAGTCCAAATTTCAAATACCACATAAAAGCATCTCAAAATGTAGTACTGAAAGAAATATACATTAATTACTGAAAATGTTTTATGAATACCAGATTTCAATTTTTTTTTTTTTGAATACGAGGACTTTGTGAAAAAGCTAGAAATTGAAATCAAGTAGTCTGAGCTACCCAATTCAAATAAAACTTAAAACATAAACAGGCAACGCACTGAACCGGAACCGATACTACCTGGGATGGGTAACGCGCGTTTCCTGCTATTTGAGCCTGGGATGTCAGATGTTGATACACGTTTAGTGTAGGGCAGCTGGTAGCATGCTGCCCAGAGCAAAAATAAAAAATACATCACCTACAAAGGCAGAAATTCCTCCACGTGGGATCGCATTTACACACAATATGAATCATTTAAGCCGCCAGAGCCACAGCATAGACCTCTGCTGTTTCAGCTAACTCATGCTAACAGTAACAATTGTCCTTCACAGACAGCAGCACTAGAGAGCAAACCTGCCGGGGGCTTGTACAGCTATTTGCTGGAAGAAGAAAATATAAAGATTCAGGATTTTTGTTCTATGACAAGATCGTAACCAAGTACTTCAATAGTTAAAATACTTCAGTACCATCTGCTTCTAGTCTAAGTCTGGTTTCTCCCACCCACCTTTCTGCCCATGAAATTGCAGGACTTCGCCTTGTTAAGTCTTGCTGTCGTTTTGTTAAGGAGATCCAGCATTTGCCTGTTTTTAAAGCAAAGTGGTC